TCTACCTGTTACATTTGATGGATATTCTATAAAGTATTTTGAATACAAGGTCTTTAACTTTTATGAAGCCTAATTTTTCTTTTCTTTTTTGAGTCATTTGTGCTTTTTGTGTCACCTCTAAAAACTTTTGCTTAACTGATGGTAAGTAACAGTATTACAATTTGGCTTTTACATTTTTAGGTCTTTGATCAATTATGAAATGTATAAAATCAGTCAAATGACAAATTACGGTTATACACATATAGGGTATAGTGATATTATATGTACACAGTATAGAATGATTAAATCAAATTAATGTACCTATCATTGCATTTCTAATTGCAGCTTTGCACCCTTGGATCAGTCTCACCCACCACATAGTCTCCAAGAACTACCCTGTTCTATTCTCTACTTCTATGAGTTTCTTTTGGTCAGAGAATAACATTTTATTAATGTAAAAATGCTGGTAGGCAGTCATCACCAATGATTCTTTCAGTGCTTCATTTACTCATTCAGTTATTTAAAAAGTATTTAAAAAAACACATTATATATGTGTACTTCTCACAGGGAGTTACTGTCAACTGTAACCATAGTTCTTTGAATTAATACAAAAATATTAAAGTTTCTGCATAAGCTCTGGAAAGTCAATAAGCACTGGAAATTGTATGTAACTTTTTGGCATTTACGCATTTTCCTGGAGAAAAGTACCTATTGCTGTTAACAGTTTTTTTGGACAGGGTCTTGCTTTGCAGTATAAGGCTGGCCTTGAACTCACTAGGTAGCCCAGACTGGCTTCAAACTCATGGCAATCCTACTGCTTCAGCCTCACCAGTGCTGCTATTACAAGTGTGTGCCATTATATCTGGCTGTTAACAGGTTTTTAAAGTGGTCTATGATCCAAAAACTATTAGAAGTGGCTACCATGGTAAGTATTTAGTGCAGAAAATTTAAAAAGGAATTGAGCACTAACAAATACTTTACTTATTTCATACAATGTATATTATAAGTAAAAATCTGTACTGCAATGTGTAATGATATACAGTCAGGTTTTCTAAGGAGGGAAAAAAAGAAGTAAATTTAGTAATTGGTCCCTGAAGTCTGTTAATAACACAAAGGTTCTATGACAGAACAGCACAGGAAATTTCACCAAATACATAATTAAAATCCAAGTGCAAATTCACAAAGATAGATGATGAGTTCATCAAAAACTCAGGAAAAAGTAATTTTGTATTTATTAAATTGATTTAGTATCTTTGACCTTTGACTGGCAAACTGTTCAGAGTATGTACATACATACCGAACAAACTATAATTTGGGGATAAGATACAGAAACTGAAACTCTAAAATGTTTGCTAAGCAAAGATGGTGAAATAAGGTTGGACTGTATTTGAAAGCAATGAAACTGACTATTCTACTTTTGACTGCTTTAGCTGAAGCAAAATAAAACTTAAGCCTAGGAAGATCTCAGACTAACCTGGTAGATTAATTACAATTAAGACTTAGGGGTTGCTTCCTTTAGCTTCTGATAACAAAGTAACAGAAGTAATAATAAGTAACAATATGACTAAATAAATTCTGGATCTCAAGTTGGCAGTAAGGATTGTACTGCTATCTCCAAAGAGAAGTCCATCAAGAGAGAAGAGTAACAGGGATACAAAACGAATGAGATTCCATCATTTTACTGTTCCAAAAACAGACTTAGAGACTACTATTGATGATGATGATACTTAAGTTTCTAGAGTTAATATAAAAGTTATATGTGATAATAAACTTGTAAGTGACTAGTCCAGTGCCTGGAACAAAGCAAATCCTCATTGTGTGACAGCTTTTATGTAGAGCAGTGCTATTTCAATATCTGAAAACAGAAAATCCTGAAATGCCAAAAACTCACTGACTTTTAAAAAATTATACCACAAATGATCATCAAATTAAAAAAAACCACGAAAATAATTATTTAGACAAACATTTATAACATAATATGATTTTCTTAACTCTTTAGTAACTAAAGATTCCAGCACAAAACAATTGAAAGTATTTTTCTAGTTTTTATGACTGCAAAAAGATAACATTGCTCAAACAAAACAAAACAAAACAAAATGAAACATCAGAGAACAGTAAAAGGCAAAAAACCAAACCAACCCAAACAACAACAGAAGAATCTCTTCTCTTTCCTTTATTTTTAAATTTCACTTTCCACTAGTAAGAGTTTGAAAGTCTTTCTAAATCTTTTGTTACTAATATGTACCACAAGAAATGAAGCCCATCTATTTGGCTTTAATATCATAATTAAAATATTTTCTTAAAACAAATTCCTTATATAGATTTTCTGTTAAAAACTTTATTAGTGCTTACCTATGCAAGAGCTACCTCCACAAATACTCACATTGAATTGAGAAAACTATATAATTTAAGTTATTCTACATAAAAACTTCAATAACCATAAGCAAAATTTCATTGTTACAATTAATTTAATGTCACTGTGTTTAATGTCAGGTTTTTCCAAAAAGAAACACCAAATTTAAAGGCCAGTGCCTAAACTATGGAAGCTACACTGAAATTTTGCATTAAGAGATGGGACTTTTGACAAAGTCTGCCCTAAAACTTTCTATTTAAAGCAACATTGAAATTATTACTATAACGTAAGTAAATGTTTATGGAATAACAAAACTATATTTCTAGGTATATATTAATATCTTTTAAACTTCTAAAAAGTCTCCAGAAAAGTTTCTCTCAAACTTTCAGTTTTGTGACATTTTAAACCAGAAATTGGACTTGAGATTAAAGCTGACCTTTCCTTGCTTGAAATTCATGTTTTAAAACTGAAAAAGAGCGAGAAGTGGGAAAAATCTACAGCACTGTCAGGACCAGAAATTCCTAGACTACTTGAACTTCAAGACATTCAAGGAATTTCGCTCCTTCAATTTCAAGACATCCAGGGAATTCTGAATTCGAAATTAACTTTAGAAACTTAGGTGTTTTTCATGTTTAGAAAAAAGTTTTTCATGACATTTAGTTCAATTACATCTTATACTTTAAGCTTATTCTAAAGACAAAGTATTTGAATTTTATTGTAAATATTTTAGATATTTTTTCTTAGTGGAGGACAAGGGAGATTAGATTAGATAGTATTTAGTAATATTATTTCAATTTATAAAACTTTGTTAATGCAAGCTATACAGTACTGGTATGAACATCTGAACCAGTAAATTTAAATATATATATATATATATATATATATATATATATATATAAATATATGTATATATATAAACAACCACATTAATTTTTCTTACAAAGTTTCCAAGTGATCCCAAATTTATGTCCAGCTGTTTAATTAAATCAAAATCTTTAATGAAACTACTTTGGTGCCCTGGGATCCTAAAAACCTAACAATAAAACTCTTGCTTAAGACGTTTACAGTTAATGAAGAAAATATAACACAAAAATCTTCATGAAATTTGCTGTATAATTATCCATTTTCCATTTTAATCTTAAACTTAAAAGTGCATGATTATTTTCTCAAAACACCTGAAAACTAAACTGGGCAACAATGAGATCATCTTTCAATAGAAAACTCAAAACTAACCTTAATGTCCTACCAGTTCCTACCAAATCTAAACCACTATTATTAGCAAATTAGATTTTAAAGACTAAAAGTGACACAAAAGAGCTCGAAGCTTTAAAGGTTATAAATTATACCGACAAAGTAAGAAAGATCACTGGTCACACTATACAATGGTCTTTTCAATCATATATATATATATATATTTTTTTTTTTTTTCTTTTTTACTTGTAGTGGGACTCAAACTCAGGATCTAACAAAAATCAGCTTTGATCAAAAGAAAGAACATTTTTATAGAAAGAAGTATAATGATTTTAAAAATAATTTGACCATTCAACTGGTGGAAATTACCAGGGAATTATGATTCAATTTAATAAAAATTGAATTTAAACAGTGGTCTATATTTTAAACTAGCAATCTAATGCTGGAAATTTTCAAGAAAACACTGGAAAACCACTTGTCAACAATATAATTAAGGGCCAAGTGTGGTGGTACACCAGCACTTGGGAGGCTGAGGCAGGCAGATGTTTGCAAGTTCAACTCCAACCTGTGCTACAAAGTAAGCCCAAGGCCAGCCTGAACTGCATATCGAGACCCTGTCTCAAAAAGACAAAACAAACAAACAAACAAAAAAACAATGCAATTAAAATCTTTCGTTAGACGGATGGTGGGACTCATAATCCTTAGAAGGTTTTCAAGTTTATAAATCCATGAAAATTTTTGAGAAATCATGAACAAAAGGTCTAAAATCCCAGTAGCGTTGCTTTGGATAAACTGAAACCTACGGAACCAAAATAATGGCTAAGTATAGAAGTTAGATTTTTAAAAGATTCTGCAGACCTTCTTTTAAGATCTTAAAAATTTTTAAAAAATGACAGCATTTAAACTCAAAATCTCTGCTTTATTATTCTTAAAAGTAAAAACATTAATTCTAATATTCTGAATCTGCTGTGGTTAACAATGATGTTCAAAGAACCAATAAACAAAATTGTACCAAATCTGTAAGTGGAAGTCTGTTTATTAGTAATCTATTATACACGCAAACACTCATTCTTTGATTTTGTAAACACTCTATTGAATAAATACAACTCTCACATTTACTATAGATTATCAGCAAGAAGAACACATGGTGAGCAAAACATACAGTTTCTGCTATTATCCAACTTACATTTTAGTGAGCTTATAGTCCAAACCTACTTTTAAGTATTTTAAATAATGGATAAGCCTTTTTCTTGCATCATACCTGAAATAGTTTTTCCAGAGACAAAAAATCAAAAATAAAAAAACCCCACCTAGAAACCAAAGGTTGGTGAGTTCTTTCACCTGCTCTACAGTTGAACTTGGTAAGCAAGCAAACTTAGATTGCTTTACTCATTTTTAAAATTTGTTGTGTGTGTTGTATTACCAAAACATCATCAAAATTACTTTTAGTTCAAAAATTCTAATTCAACTTTCTCACCTTGATAATTTCTACCAATTGATCCACACCACTGTCCCCTGGAAATATTGGTTGTCCTAGCAACAGCTCAGCTAACACACAGCCCGCAGACCATACATCTGAAGAGAAAGTAAAGGTTTATTAGTAATTTGCAATGACACTGAAAAATACATTTTCAAGTTTTACTTTAATTACACAGTACGTGTCCAAAGGAAAAGATTTTGTAATTCAAGAAAGGAAAAGAAAAAAGGAGAATCTTCCCAATAACAGAGCACGGTGGTAACACATACTCCTAGCTACTTGGGAAGCCGAGGCAACAGGATTTCAAGTTCAAGCCTGGCCTACGCCCATGATGGCAAACCTTTTAGAGACAAGTGCCCACACTGCATGTCAAAACCTACTTATTATCTCAGTGTGCTAACACTGCAATTAGACCTGAACACAGAGGTTTTAACTTAGAAAAAACAACTCAGACATTAACCTCTTTTGTCTTAAAGGAAAAACATACTAATAGCGCTTTCAATGATATGAATAGCTTTTTCAAAGGTACAAGGTGCATTTGGCATGCTGGTGTGACCTGGCTTGTGTGTCAACACAGAGGGTTCTGTGTGCCTGCTGCACACGTTTGTTATAGGTTTGCCACTACTGGCCGAGGCAATTCAGAGACCTTGTCTGAAAAACAACACAAAGCAAAATTTCCTCAGTGCATTTTTAAGGTAAGTGTGAAACTTTATAAAGAAGAAATAAGGTCAATAAGAATATTCCAATAAAGAATACAGTCTATCATTATTAACCATAAGGTCTTCAAATAACAATTCACACCAAGACTATCAACTCATTATGCAAAAAAGTCAAAGTGACACACACTCTGTAAGTTGGTAGGTTTTTAAAGAGAAGTAGTGAGCAAAGATTCAATCTCCTGTGGACACGGTTTTAACCCAATGCAAAGTCTAAGGAAAATTTTAGAACTCTAAATGGTTGACTTGTATATGCTGTAAAGATGACTAAAGCAATGTACTTAGATATATTATTATAAATACAAACTAAAGGCAGATACAAAGGAATATATTTTACTTCATAATTTCCAAAAATACTTTACTTTCATATCAAAATGGGGATGTCAATCCTGACAGAAAACTTTCAAAATTAATTAATGCATGTTAATAATTTAAGTAATAAATTTTAAAAAATAACTTAAAAACATAGGTCCTGGCTATCCATTATAGTCTGGTTAATTCCAATTCTCATAGGATAATTATTATTAGCATGCTCTTTCTCTCTTAAAAGTATCTAAAGATACATTACATAGTCATGCTATGTAAAGCCTGTTAAGACTTTCTGCAAGCAAAAGCTATTTTTCAATTTTAAGGTTTCCAAGACTCCTGGGCTTTGTATGAATCAACACTGAAGTACTGTATGCAGATGAACGAACATAAATCACTGTTGGATTTTCCCACTGTTGAGGAAGTAAGCAGAATAGGATAGTGAATGATATAGTAGATACAATAATTTAGAATCTGATGGTAAAGATGTATGAAGACAGATTTAAAAATCTGTACTTCATTGAGTACTTCTACTGTCCTAGAAAAATGACACAGAATTCACTTAAGAAACTCTAATTTTTTCTCTAAGTAACGAGAACTAAGACATTTATTCTGCAACACAGACTAAGAGAGTTCTTGATATGTTAAGAAAATTGCTCAAGTGAGGTAAATATGAAAACCTGTTATGGGTTCTTCATTTCACTTAAAGGCAACAATATAATACTACTTTTATAGTCAAGTGAAAAAATATTATTTTCTCATTAAATGTTTTAATTCAAGTTTTGAGAATCCCCTCGCCTAGCTAATTAAGAGAGAAGGTACTATGCTCTCACTTATTACCACTTTAATATAGAACAACTCAATCAGAAGACAAAGTTGGAAAAATTACAGAGAGTAATTATGCCATCTTCACAGAAAAACAACAATGGGAAATGCTTTCCTTTGTATTAGCCTTTCAACTATAAATAAGCAAGACAAAGGGTAAAATTCAAGGAATAGTGTATCTAGCAGTACAGAAGATTAAGTCTTTTAACTGCCATTCAACTCTAGATAGATAAATCAGTAAAATTACTAAAAACAAGGTATTTATTATTCATCTTCTGAAAGATAAACACCTATTCTTATTTTTGTAAGACAAAATGATGAAATTCCCTAGAGAATAAAACTTCCCCTAAGAAGGTTTACCAATACAGAGGTGACTAGTTATTTAGAGTTAAAACCAGAACAGAATTCTGTTCCAAGACCATCTAATTCAAAATACTTCACAGATCAGGAAATGGCAGCAGGATACATTAAATCACTTGCCAAAAGTAAAGTTATTCAGTAGCAAGGCAATAGGCCTGGAACTTGTTCTTAAGCCCCAATTAGATATCATAATAAAACTGCCTCACTTCACAAAGAGAAAACAAACATACAGACAGACACACACACACAAAAAAAAAACCTTCTTTAAAGGTCCTACCTTAATCCTCTGTCCTAAGGAAGCATATTGTTTTTGCTAAGATATTTCTCAATGAGAAATTATAGTCAGAATCATTGACTTTAACTCTTGACTGTATCCAAACAATAATGTAGGATGTGGGTCTTTCAAACATTAACTAAAAACATTCCAACAATGTACTTATATAGGTATATTCTCAAATACTTCCCTCACTCCCACATTTAAAAATCTCAAACAGGCTTTAGTGGCAAACGTTCTATGTCTGAGGGGCTCAAAGTGTCTTAATTTCCATAAATATTACTTAATGTGTCAGATAATATGTTATGACTCTTTATAAACTGTACTTTAGAACACTGTGATATAATTCAGGCCAATATCTTGTCTGTAAATAGTATCAATATTTAAAATAAAATACAAAGCAGTGGTATGTCCAAAGGCATAGGCTGAAATTCATTCTTGGGGACAGTTAAGCTAACAAATATCACAGAAGAATACCACTAACATTTTATTTACACCTCACAGACACTAAGAAAGGCAGAACTATTAAAAATTTCTCTCTTATAGCTCAGCTAAGTAGCAGTAAATATGGAAAACAAAATTAGGTCAATCTCAGGCAAAATATTCTCTGTACCACTTCTCACTTGCCCATTAATATGTATCGCAGAACAGATTCATAATAAGAATTGTTACATACACATGTATTGATACTCGCTCTTCTATTGTGCACTAAGTATCAAAGTATAGTTGTAGGTCCTCTGGACAGTTTTAGAGGGCCTATGGGATAAACCTATTTTCATAATAATATGCCTTTTTTCCTGGGTAAATTGCACTGATATTATGAAAGAAATGATGAATAGAACTGTCAGCCCTTTGGCAAGGTACGTGCTCTGGCATATTCCTCTAGGACAAAATAAAACAATAATGTGTCTGTTTAGGAAGTATTTGTTCATATCAGATAATTTCTATTTTTATCAGAAAAACAAAACTGGTCAAAGGTTTTGTTTTGTTTTTAAAGTTTCCAGTTACTGGATTTTTGTGCTTGGTATCTGTGTGCCTTTGTTTCCACAACTAGACTAAGGAATTCTTTTCAGAAATAATATATAACTTGCTCTTTGTTTCTTAGCCTTTTATTCATCTGATCACGGTCTTGCTGTTCACTCCTAGCCAGTATGCTAACACGGTGAAGACGAGACAGTCAATGAAGAGCACAACAGTTCCTTCTATCAGTAAGCATCTCGGGAGCTAGAGCTGGTAAAGATCTAATCTGACCTGCAACACAAAACAGTACGGCAGAATTCCAATAATAAAGTGTCCCTACCACTCTGATTAATTTAATGAAATAATATTACCAATACACAAATTCTCTAGCTGGCAATAAAATTCAGAAGTATTTTAAGAGGATTTTTAAAAGCCAACAAAAAAGAGAAATACTAGTTAGGTTTTATTTGAAGTTCTCAGGTAAAAACAAATGTTGTACTAACCAACCACAAAGGAACAGTTTGATAATTCTAGTAGTCAAAAAAACCTACAAATAGACTGGCAAGTACATCCAAAATTCTAAAGGATGAAATTATTAAAAAAAAAAAAAAAAAAAAAAAAGACTATACACTTTCTGTAACTCACTTTCTTTTTTTTTTTGTCTTTTTCATTTTCATTTTTATTGGTACCGGGGATTGAACTCACGACCGCCTGCTTGCAAGGCAGGTGCTTATGCCACTAAGCTAAATCCCCAGCCCCCTCACTTTCAAGAAAAAACACATTACAGGGCATATAGATTCTACGGTAGAGAAAGAATAGATTACTAAGAAAAAATTACTAAAATCAAGGTGTAAATAATAAACATTATATGCAGATTTAGTACTTACCTATACTAGAGGTATAATCAGTGGCTCCAAAGATCAACTCTGGTGCCCTATAGTACCGAGAACAGATATATGAAACATTGGGTTCTCCTCGGACCAGCTGCTTTGCACTGATTTAAAAAAAAGAAAAGAAAAAAAGATAAATGAGTCTTTAAATCTAAATCTTAAAAGAATCTTTACTATTATCACTCATGATACCAAGTATTTACATAAACTTCATATCATTTCAATCATGACACAAAAAAGCAAATATGAACCATAACTATCTTTGACTAACGAGATAAATACTAGAAATATTACTATGGAAAACTATGGTAATTTTTCAAAGAAAGAGCCTGTCAATTCATTTAAGGAAAAAGAGGTAAAATGTCACAAAAGGATAAATTTTGATTTTCTTTTACTTCTCTGTTCCCAGAATTAGGTATAAAATTAAGGGGTACCTTGCCCCCCCCCCAAAAAATGAACACTCAATTTAAATGTTTCTTTAAAAGGAAAAGAAACTGGCCATTATTTTACAGTTAAACTTCTGACTCAGCAATTGAAAGCTTTTAGAGCTAATATATTTTTCTTTTGATAAATTGTGGCCTATTTATTACTCAATAAACTATTAAAAGACAGCCTTCAACTTTAGGGTAGAAATGATTAACAATTTACAAATTCTACCTCTGCTGTGGTAAATTTATGTACTTTTTTATTCAATTTTTCTTCTAAAATACTTTGTGGCACATATTTTAAACACCAAAGTAAATTACAATTAATATTTCTCGAGATATATCTCCAGATAACTCAAAGACACTGAAATGAATAAGCTGCCACAGAAGTGATCTTTTTTCCCTTTGTACCAATAATTTAACACAGGACCTTGTGCTTGCTAGGCAAGCTACACCACTGAGCTACCTCTCCAGTCCCATAGAAGCTATTTTGGCATGCAATAATATCATATAAATTACAGAAAATAAATGCATACAACAAAATCAAAACAGGGAGAAAATGCCAACCATTTTTAAAGTAACAGTGTAGGAAAGCCAGCAAAAAAGATAAATGAAAACAGCCAAAGACTCTGAAGTCTAGGCTTTCCTCTTCCATTTGTAGTCCATGAAGATCTTATTTTTTCCTTTATCACCAGTTTTGAAGATTACTTTTAACACTGTCTCCAAGTATTCACATAGAATCATTTCATAAATTAAAAATACTAAAAATCATCATTTCATAAATTAAAAATACTAATCTCTGTTTTCAGATTGTCTAAAAATTAGGATACTTAAGTTTTTAGGTAGAGAACTTTGCTATCTTCAAAAAGTCACTGTTTAGTAACAAAACAGATTCCAATTACATAGTCAGAAAATCCACTACAGGTCCACATTTCAGGATCAGAAGCTTAGTAGCCCACAGACCACCCTGGCCCCTTCGCAAATCGGATGGAGGTGCCTTCTTTCCCTGATACTGTAGAAGAGGCTTGTTGTTACCCCCTTAGTGCTAAGCCAGCCCTTTTCTGGGTTACTTCTTCAGGGCCTCAGCATTTCTAGGACATGTTTGACACAAGTAAAGAATTACTAAAAGAGTAATACTCTTTTTTTATTATTATTATTTGGAAATTCTCCTTATTCATGAGAAAAGTAAATGAAGGCTAGACAATCCTACAAAATAATTATGTTCTACTATTTTTCATAAGGATCTTTGTCTTGTTCTGATTTTTTATTCCTCCATTCCCTTTTCCCTTACCTCCCCCACCTGTTATCTGCACCTTCCTACTCTCACCTCCAAAGTCTGTCTTTGTGTTCTTAACAATCTTTTTCTATCACTGTATTTTAAGTTTCTTGTATAAGACATTTAACTTTCTGTGTCTGACTTATTTCACTTAGCATCACAGTCTTTCAAGTTCCATTCATTTCCCTGCAAATAACATGATTTCAACTCTTCTTATGGCTGAAAACATTCCATTGTGTGTATATTCCACATTTTCTTTATTCACTCCTCTGATGACTGATATCTAGGCTGTTTCAGAGCTTAGCTATTGTGAATTGTTCTAAACATGGCTATGCATGTGTTAGGATAATATGATGTCTCTGAAATCTTTTCATACCTAGTAGAGGTATAGGTGGATCAAACGAAATTTCTCCTGTAAGGATTTTTCTTTTTGTTTTTTTAAAGGAATCTCCACACTGATTTCTCTACTGTTGCTAGTTCACATTCCTATCAACAATGTAGAAAGGTTCCTTTCTACCCCTATCCTTGTCAGCACAGGTGCATTTTTGATGATAGCCCTTCTGATTAGGGTAAGATGAAATCTCGAAGCTGTTTTGATTTGCATTTCCCTATGGCTTAAGATGAGCTTTTTTGTTGTACTTACTGGTCATGTGAACTTTTAAGAAGCGTATTCATTTCAGTTGCCCATTTTTTGATTGGATCTTTTACCTGGGGGCAGGGGAATTCTAATTTTTTGAGTTATTTATATAGTCTAGATATTAGTCTGTGTTGTATTTCACTATTGGTTGTTTCCTTTGCTGTGCAGAAGTTTTTTAATCTGATGTAATTCTGCTTGTTGATTCCTGATATTATTTTCTGTGGTATTAGGAGTTTAGGAAGTTCCTTACTCGGCCTATGGCCTTCAAGTATCTCCCTTTTGTTATTTTCCAGCAGTTTCAAAGTTTATTTTTATATCCAGATGTTTGGTCTAATTTGGTAGTAGAACACAGTGAAAGATACAGTTTAAATCTGCAAGTGGGTAACCAGTTTTCTCAGAACCATTTATTAAAGAGTTTATCTTTTCTCAATGTATATATTTGGCCCATTTGTCAAAAATCAGATGAGTGAAGGTACATGAGGTCTGTTTCTGTCTTCCATTCTATCACACTGTTTTATGAGTCTGTTTTTCTGGCAGTCTCATACAGCTTTTGTTACTATAGCTTTATAGTTTAACTTGAAATCTGGTATTGTGATCTCTTCCATTTTGTTCCTTTTGCTCAGGATTACTTCGACTATTCTGAGTCTCTTCAGGCTCCATATGAAGTTTAAAATTTTTTCTAGTTCTGTGAAAAATGTTATTGGTATTTTAATAAGGATTGTGTTAAATCTATAGATCTCTTTGGCTAGTATGGCTTTTTAAACAGTATCAATTCTGTTGATCCAAGAACATGGGTTGCTTTGCCGTTATATGATGTCCTCTTCAATTTTTCTTCAGTTCTTTAGTTTTCATTATATAAGACTTCCACTTTGTTGGTTAATTTCGAGGTATTTAAATTTTTTCTTAATTGTTGTGATTGGAGCTGTCTGCCCGATTTCTTTCTTGGTAGGTTCACTATACCATGGTGTACATGAATCTACTTTGTTTTGAGATGTGCTGATGTTTTTTAGTTTTATAGCCTAACTAATACTGTTTTGTTCAAGCCCCTAGTATTACCTAACAGTCTGAAGTGTCGCTCAAACCCTACTTGCTGTTATGGCTTGCATCCAGATGTCCCACAAACCCTCAGTAAACTAAGGCATCTGCCCAAGGCAATTATGTTTTTTAAAAAGGCACGTTTTCTATCAGAGAATTTATACAAATGAGCTATTATCACATATGTGAAATCACTATTCCAAATTTATTGGAACAAAATAACTTTATGTCCCATTAAAATGGTCTATTCTAACACTTTTTTAAATCACTGTGAATATAGTAACTCTAATAAACTGTTTGTTTTTTATGCTCCTTAGCAACTTATCAGTAGGAAAGAGACTTCATGATAATAAAATGCATTTGATTTGTGAAATTTTTCTTACAGATAATATTAGTGGTAGTGGTTTATTTCAAGCATTCAGTAAAAATTCTGATTTAATATTCTTTATTCTTACAGTTCAGAGGACAAAAAACATAGCAAAGCAAGTTGCATACTGGGATTAGTGGAAGAGGATACACTTGTAAGATTAAGAATTAATTTACAATAGAACAGATTCATTTGTTTTTAAAGAATATCTCTACAGACTATGGAAAATAAATTCTATATTAAACCCAGAATCTAAACTGGCTTGCTATCAGTAATATAAAAGGGTAGAACTATAGCTACCACAAAGTGTGGGTTAATATGTAATGTATACAGATAAACTGAAAAATAAGAACCATTACAAGTATAAAAGACATTAAACTAGAAGACATAGTGTAAAATTAGATAATAAAGTCACAAAATGTTGAAAACCATAGAAATGAGTAGAATGAGACTTTATTACAAAGTTATGGCACATTATCTAGTAGTCAGTATACCAAATCAACCAATTTTTTGAACTTTTTTACAGAAAAGAAGTTGAGTATAAAAGGCTCCATAATAGTAATAGGAAAAAAAAAAAAAAACTGCTACTAGATCTTTCTCTACATTCCTGACCTGAGGTCAATTTTAAAGGTAAAAGGACAATATCTTATAATAAAATTTTTTAAAAAATAAGTTCTTACTAAAAAGGAATATATACATCTAATACAAATTCAAACAGTACTAAAGTACAATGAATGAAAAATCAAGTTTTCCAAACTAGATTACATTTCTCAAATTTCCCTTTCTAGGAGCAAGCATTGTCATGGGGTTATAATATTTCAGAAATAAGCCACATTATACCTTGCAAATATATTTGTATTTTCACATATAGTATTTTCAAAATAAAAGGCAGCATATTATATAGTATTGACATTATTTTTTTATTTGCTATTCCAAAGAGAGCATTCCCTTTTAGTTCATAGAGAGCTGCACCATTCTTTTTCATGGTAGAATATATACCATTACATTTGTATATACCATTAATTTATTTGGACAATTTCTTATAAACAGATATTCATAAAACAATGCTATGAAAAGATCTCTGTAAATACAGGACTTCGTAAGTAATTCATAGGGTTAAAATCTTGGGTAAAAGCATAACATAATTCTGACAGAAATTATCAAAACTACCCTCTGAAGGAACTGTATTAGTGTATACCACCTGAGTAAGGATTAGACTAATATTCTACAAGATTTAAAAGAACATATGGCAGAGTGGGAGCTGGAAGAGAAAAGAAAAAGGGAAGGGAAGGGAAGGAAAGGGAAGGGAAGGGAAGAGAAGGGAAGGGAAGGGAAAGCTAATTTACCTTCCAAAGTCACAGAGTTTTAATACGGCTGTATCAGGATCCAACAAGAGGTTCTGCGGTTTGATATCCCGATGGCAGATTCCAAAGGAATGGATATAGGCTAAACTTCTGAACAGTTGATACATATACAACTGGAACAAATAATAAACATTAATTGAATTATTTCCTATTTCAAATAAATCAAAATCAAGAAGCAGATAACAAAGTAACATTCTCAGAAAGAACAAGTGAAATGCTGGTTAATTATTACACTCAACCTCCCTTAAACAAATTCCTTGTCATTTTTGTATGAGTTAGCTAATTAAACTATTATTAACCATATGTTTATACCATTTTTAACAGCTTAAAAAATGAAATGTTACACTATGCTTTAAAGCTTGTTATTTTACTAACATCTCACCTCAAGCCAGCCAAGATGGGTTTATTTAAAACACGGATAGAAAGCTCAGAGAGGTATCCCAAATCTTGACAGATACGTAACAACACTGGAACCAGAAGTGAGTCTTTTGATTCTTAAGCTCATCACTCCCTCTACTATATAAAACTGCTAAATGTAAAAGCACTTCCACAGCCAAATTTAGAATTATTTTTCCTTGAGACGCCAGCTTTCAAGGTTACTAATACAAAAGTCTAAGAAAACTGACAGGCAGACTGAGAAAATCTAACTACCTATAAAGATAACAGTAACCCTGTTAATAGCATCACCACTCTTTCTGTTAATACCCTTCAGAAATAAGTGGACTTTAAATGTCATTTGGAAAGATGACTAAGCTAAGTGCAGTGGAGCTTGTCTGTAATTACAGCTGTGTGCAAGGCTGAGGCAGGGAGGACTGCAAATTTGAGGCCAGCTTGGGCAACACAGCAAGAACCTGTCTCCAAATAGAAAAGGAAGGGAAAGCGAAGTTAAAGATTTGTTTCTTTGTTTTTTAAAAAGAAAAGAGACCAGGATATAGCTCAGCACTTGTCTAGCATGTCTGAAAACCTAATCTCTGGTACCATTAAACAAATAAGCAAACAAACACAAAATCAGCCAACCAAACAAAACCAACAAATACGTGCCCACTGACACGATCTTCAAAAATGTGTTTTATTACTATAAAAGGTACACAAAGTATAACCAGACATTCTCTTTATCCCATGACCAGTGTTTTGATTCGTTTTTAAATTTGACTATTCACCTTCTGACCTCTACCCCAAGACTAATACTACAAAATTTTTTTCTGAAATAACTAGAGGCAAAGATATCAATGTTTTGGCAAAAATATAACAATAAAACAAGAGTTAAAAGCCAAATGCAACACTGATACACAACACCATTATTAGGGGCTACTATTAAAAGTTGAGTTAACGCTAACATGAGATTTACCTTCCTTCAAATGCAAAATGTAAAACTGCAGACAGCTAGATTTCAGTGTATTTTAATGAAGCATGGCATAAAACATCTATGTAAGATCTTCACTAAGGTAAGCATTCTGCTATTAAAATTAGAATTAAAGCATGCATGTATCTTTTTTACAGCTTTGTAGTTCTGTTACTGCATCACAGTTCACAGACACAATTCCCAAGTACTAAAGCATGAGTATCCAATCTTTTAGATCTATTTGGGCCACATGGAGAGAAGAGGAATTATTATGTTTAGTGACAACTAATGCTTGTCTTCACAGGCACAAACATGTACAGGTGATCTGAAATATTATTTACTAGTAACGCTACATTTTACTTGCCAAATGGCACAAATACATGTTTACGTTTGATAAACACAGCTCCTCACCCACGTGTGATGGGTGCAGAAGGCGGAGGCAGCACTCACTGTACTTTCCCTTACATAGACTCTGTTGTTATTTATGCAGCCTGTGCTTCAGGACTATACCACTGAATCATAAACAAAATTATTAAAAAGCATAAACTACTACAAGTTTATGATCTTGTGGGGCTGCATTACTAACTGTCCCAGGCTATACCCATCATAAACCTTACACTACAAGTCTATTCATTTTCACTAAAAAATATGCTTCTGTAAGTGACTGAGTTAGAAGTATTCATGACTAAAGGAGAGATTTTTACTGCCTCTGGGTAAGAGTATTAATGCCCATGTGAGAAAAAACTAGTGAAAGCAAAAGTTATCCTTTAAAAAGGTTCAAAAGCTTAAATGAGATTAATTTTTAACATCCTTTTAAAAAAAAACTGTAGTTTCATCTGAAAGATTATTTCTGTTCTCATTTTATTTTTGAGAAGTTAAGATTTAGAGTGAAACATGCACTTTTCTACCTTTTTGTACTGGTCCATTTTGTTAAAGTATATGTCTAAGAAAGCTGAAAGGTTTTTCCTACTCTAGAAAGATAGCAAGAACAATAAGAAAGATAACTTACTGTGTGCCACACACCATGTGTCCTGTATGTACTATACATATATTATTTCACTTAATCTTTATAATGACTTCATATAGTAAGTGCTACTTTTACCACTATTTTAAATATAAAATAACTGAGGCAGGAACAGATTAGACAATTAGGTCAATATCAGATCTGTAGTAGCCTGCAGTGGTACAGGTAAGGACTCCTTTTAATTACAATTCGTTTATTTGGCCTTATTTTTATTTTAGCAAATGATGATACAAGAATAAAATTATTTAGTAGCTGAACACTGAGGAATTAAAATGATATTTTCAGAAGCTCAAGCGTAGGTAAGGATTGTACGCAGTGGTAGTATGCTTGTCGAGCATACACAAGGTCCTGCATTCAATACCCATTATAGAAGAAAAAAAACCTCAATTCAGATGTAATGAACACATTTTAATACAACAGATTTAACATGCATTAACTACCAAACCAAGTGCATCTCTATTCCTTTGTTTAATTCTTGCAATCCATCTTAGATACACATTTACCCTCCTTTTTATTTTATAAGTGAGGAAAGTGATGTTTAATAAGCACAGTTCAAAAAAAGTTCAATGTCCTTTCTGTCACAACATTTATTAAAAATAACTAATAGAAAGATGACTTTCTTATCTAGAAAAATGAATCTAGATCTTAATATAATGTATTCAGACTTCATATCTGGGAATTTTTTAGTCTAGAAAAAAAAAAAGTCTAAGCCAACTATAGTGGTACATGACTGTAGCTCTACCCACAGAAGAGATAGAAGCTGGGAGGGTCCCTTGAGCCCCGGAGGTCAAGGTCAGTTCAGGCAACACTGTAACACACTAGCTCTTAAAAACCTAAAAATTTTGAGCATTTATTAATACCATAATTTATTAGTCATCATTTTTAGTGCTCCATTTAAAAATCACTTATTTCTGAAGGTCATTTATCAAAAATGCAACAGTGTTTAAAACATTTTTAATTTCTATTTTATTGTCAAATATAAAATAGGGGCTGGCATAAAAGGGGTAAAGAAAGAGGTTCCAATATAGCCACAGAACATACGTGATTCCCTACAAAGTGTAAGTCAAATGATCACAAGGAAATGCAGTTAACATTTTAATAACAATGTATGTCAAACGACACTAGATGGTAAGGTCCATAAAGGCAGCAGTCCTACATGTTAATTAGTTTTATTTCTATCTCACAGACTGTTCTTCATACATTGTAATAGGACTGCAATAAAATTATATAGAATGAATATGGAGATCAACTTACAACCTATCAATTACAAACACTGTTTTATCTTTCAGTCCCTTAAGCATAAGAGTAGATTTGTGTCCCCAAGAATAATATCCATGGCCAATAGAAGTGACTCTGGTTTTATAAAAGAATTACCCTTTTTCCCACAAAGGAATGTCAATTCTGTACATGCCTATTTAAGTATGCACAACAATATTCTCTTTAAACACAGATTAGTAAAACAGAAACCACAGAGAGAGATAGAGAAAGAAAACAGACAAAGGATGCCAAAGATTTAACTCAACTAGCTATATGCTGGTGAAAATACAAACATGTGCACAAAGCTGTTCACTATAGTGCTAGCTGTAACAGAGGGAGTGGGGCCTGAAAGGGAAAAAGAACACATGCATTAATAGGTCACTGATGAATAAAATACAATCACATGATGGGAGTAATATGTAACAATGAAAAAGGCACACATACATATACACAGAATAATCTTCAGGACGTATTTTTAATTAAAAGCAGAAAAAGAGTATAGGGTCAATACAATAGTTACACATTTGCCGTTTTAAAAATGCTAGGATACATTTTAAAAGTTTAAATTTTAAATATTCAACTGGTAGAAGGGACAGAGATGAACATAGAAGTTAAGCTTCTTTCAAGAGATTTTGTTTTCTAGACTTTACTTTGGATGTATGTAAATATATTAACTTAAAAGCAAAACTTGTATTTTAAAATATTTAAAAATAATTGTTAATGAAGGTAAAATGAAACAAAGCTTCATAGGGTATAATCACACAAAAAGGAACTACTTGATATTGCTTTTAAACAAAGAAACTTGATTATTCATCTCAAAAAGAATCTAATGGAAGATAAAGAGCTGGAAAAGGACCTTAAATTATTTTCAGCTGGAGGAGGTGGTGCAGGGATTATTACTACAATCAAAGCAAGTGTTAGATAGAATGAATTAGTAACTATAATGCAGTCATTGAAAAATGGGATTTTCAGTGTAAATGAAAGGTAATATAGATGTAAAATTATTAGGATCAAGCAAAAAACCTTTCCATTTCAATTGGAAGTATCAATACAAATTTATGGTGTATCGGAGGGTAAAACAGATACATTGTACTCTTGAAAACATTATCCATGTATTTCCTAGCTCTGCTCACTCAGGAGACACAGGAACAATGTCCTGTAGCAGTTAGTACTTTCAGCTTTCAGACTCAAGTCTCTTAATACCATTTCCCACTAAAAGAACAGCATCTCTTTTAAAAAAAAAACACTGATGCCAAGTGCAGAAGACAACCTGGGTACCTCTCCTTGAATTCAAAACAACTGCTCCACGATTAGTTAAATTGAGTCTTATTTCCATACACTGATGTGTACAGAGCAGGTTACGTCTTTATTGTGTCTTCAATTGGCTCCAAGCAAAACAAGTAAGGCTAGCTGAGTTACTGATATGTAATCCTTAAGACCACTGACAATTTCCTGTGTCTTCCCATCATGTTCTCTATAAAACAGTTCAACATAGCACAGTGACAGAGCCAGACAGCTCCAGGAATGTCAACTGGGTATGAGCCTCAAAATAAGAGACTATGACTTCCCAGGGTACAAAAGATTGTATCAGAAATTGAAGCAACAAGCCTCCTAAATTCATTTATATGCTATCCCAGTCGAGTTATGCAGATTGGTCTTTGTGCATATCTTTCTTCCCGCACACTGCAGAGGTGTTTGCTCTCTGCCTGGCTAGCTTTGCTCATCTTTCTCATGTAATTTCCTGTCATCCTCACTGTCACTCATCCTTGAATCACTCCTTTCTTCATGAGATAATAAATTCTGGGAGAGGCCTTGAATCAAGGCCTTTGTCTGTTTATCTTCACTTGGATCAGACTTAGGACCCCTTGGCTGTCTATATCCTTAAATATGTCTTAGTGTCTTTTTCTCTTGCCACGGGTTGCATTGGAGGTGGTAGACTGAAATTAACTCACTGAAATTCTAGTAATGTTTCTGTAGTATTACAAATACAACTTTCCAGATTGTGAGGTGGACCAGAAAAGGGAGTACAATATATACTATTTGGATTATGATATATAATACTTAGATTACAATACTAAGTCAGAGGAAGAAATGTTTAAGATAAACCTGTAACATTATCTTAAGAGTACAATTAACACAGGGAAGATTCTCTTTGTGAAGCTATCTACCTTATAAATTGCAAAGGGGTAACACTGAAGTATCAACATTTTATAAACCTTAATGAATTAATGAACTTACATAATAGTCATCAGTGGCCATTAACATCACAAAAAAACATTATGTCTTCATTAGGAAGGCAGCCTATACTACTTAATAAGCAATTTTGACTCTGATCAAAAACGTACTTAATTATAAACTATCTAATCAACAATTTATCAGAAACACAGAGGAACATGTTAACCTCATTATGGAAATCTAATCAGCTAACTCCAAACCAAGAAATGACAAGTCAAATAACCTACTTTCTTTAACAACATGTACATGAGGAGGAAAAACATTAAAAGCATACCAATCATACATTATATACAAACCTTAAATGGTCAAACAAAGAAGTTCAAAGAAACTGTAAGACATGTAGAATATAAATATATTTAATGATGCTAACAATACTATAATTGTATTTTTAAAAGGTCCTACCTTCTATATGTGCACTGTAACACGTAGGAAAACAGTATTTGTAATTTGCTTCAAAACAGAAAAAGGAAATATGGAGGGTAGCACATAGGAGACAAACTGGCTATGAGTTAAATGATCATTGAAACTGTAGGACGGGTACATGGAAGTTTATTACTGTATTTTCTGTGCTTTTACAAATGTCTGAAATCAACAATAAAGCCAAATGTTTATAGAGTGACTAAAGATTCTTCAAAAAAGCACCTATGGACAGGAAATCATCTGACGTATGTTAAGTGTTGGCAAACAGAGCTAAAAAAACAGATCCACAAAGAGCTAACTAAATTTGCAGAGTAGATTCAATAGAAATCACTATAACCTCCTCTTTTCCAAGGAGATTTTGCCAATTAAAATGACATTTCTAGCTTCTGACCTACTTTTATAACAAGCATTTTATCTTGATTATCTTGTCGGTTATTTGAATAATTTTTCCTGCTTGTAAGAGGAAGAATAAAACATTTCATTAGGCATCAGATTATTGCAAAAATCATTTAGCATTTATTTCCTCAATTAAAAAGGCCAGGGAGGGCCAGGGATATAGCTCAGTGGCACAGAGCCTGATTGCCAAGTGCAAGGTCCTGAGTTCAGTTCCTGATACCAAAATAAAAGAGAGAGAACAAAATAGTAATACAAATATATTTGAATGTCCTTAACATGTCACATTTTGATGATCTAAGACTTTCTATTACTTCTACTTTAAAGCCCCCTAATGTTTTCACCATGTTAAGCACAGGTCAATAATGCTATATTGTAGACAGAAAAGAAGTCAAACATTAGTGCTATGGAATTAAGAAGGGAAGGGATTTCTGACTTTTCTGAAAGAACATAAGCAAGCTGAAATGTTGGGCCTCAAAATTACATTTTCGGGAACTAATTAAGGGTTTTTCATAAATATGTCACTGGCAATAATAAAAGCTATAATAATGAATAATAAAAGATTTAAACTATCACCCTTTAAAACTAAGAGCTCAAGAATTTCTCTGGATTTAGGGAGTTCAGAGGGATGTAATACTATGGCTGAACTAGAATAAAGTACGTACAGCACACAAAAAAAATTAAAATAAAAATCCTGTATCTCTTTTTCTAGACTTACTGTTAATTTAACCACAATCTCAACCAAATTTTGACAACCCCAAATAACACGATACTGGAATCAGTTTTTAATCCACCACTTAACTCAGTAAGAGTCCTGATCTACCTGCCAAAATAATCTAGCTACCAAAAGTTCTAAAAGAATTTTTATTATTAATGTTCTTGGCTTTAGTATTTATTTTATTTATTATGAAGTTTACAATCGTAATAAGAAGAATTTCAGAACTTGAACCATAAGACACTGAGAGTGATGCCACTTTATTCTCCAGAGTAATTTTTATGAAGGATTAAATTTAAATAATTTAGATACCTGAACTTTACTTAACTCCTAATTTTCAGTGTCATAGTCAATAATGTTTCTACTTTAATGACAATTATGCTACTCCTACCTACTTTGCCATGAGTTCTAGCAAATAAATAAAATGGTATAATATTAGACTATAAATTAAATACATCTATATGCTTATAGTCGCCAAAGTTTAAACCTCAGCTATAGATGCAATGAATATATCTACAAATGAAAATGAAACATTACATATTAGCATGTTTACAACTATGTAATTTTATGTGAGTTTATATTTGTTCCCTTTATTGTTCACACAATAAAGATATTGGTTAAATATAGAGCCAGGGATTTAGTTCAGTGGCACAAGCACCTGCCTGGCAAGTGCAAAGTTGTGAGTCTGATCCCTTGTATCAAAAAACAAATTTTTATTTATACAAAAGAATTTAAGAAAATTTTCTACTTATTTTGCAGTTATTTTCCTGAGTAATAAATGCAAATAATATGGTTAAAAATATAATCAATATTCTCTCTGGCTTACTATATATATTTCTAAAATGGGAAATTGTTACATTTTTACGTACCTTGACATAGATCACAGGGAGCGTCTGTTTGGCTCGACTATAGTGTCTGGCAACTCTGTACACTGTTTCTGGAACGTAGTCCAGCACCAGATTAAGGTAGACCTCATCCTTCTGAAAGAGTTTGTTCAAAAACAGAAATAGATTAGAAACTTGACTTTAAATATTCAAGTTTAAGTAAGTTCTCTATGCATTTATATCTTTGGATTTTTAAAGAAAAATATTTCATTTTAATTATACAAAAAATTACTTTAGAAAATCACCATAACTGGGCTGGGGATTTAGCTCAGTGGCATAAGCGCCTGCCTTGCAAGCAGGCAGTCGTGAGTTTGATCCCCGGTACCGATAAAAAAAAAAGAAAAACACACACACACACACACACACACACACACACACACACACAAAAGAAAATCACCATAACAGGAAAAACAAGTATACCATACCTTATTAATAGCAATTCTACGCTAAAAACACAGCCATTTCAATACCTTTAAGATTACCAGTCATATTCAAACTATTATTTCTGTTACTATCATTTTAGAGTATGTCCTATTATAAAATTTCACATTTTCTAGGCTGAGCATCAATGTCCTTATATGCTATCAGGAGAGGTAGCACAGCAGTTAGGACACTACTGGATTGGGAACTAAGAAAAGGACTTTTAGCCTCAGTTTTGTACCTAACTGGTGTATGCAAGTCACTCTCTTTAGACGTTGGTTTCTTCTACTACAAAATGAAAAGCTGGACTAGAAATTCTTCAAAATGTCCATGATCTCCACAAAAAAGATCTTATAGTTACCAATCGTCTATAATTGGTAGAACAACCACATGTATCCTATAATTAACTGAAATAAAAAGAGTAACTTATAAGGCAATGAAATACCATACTCACAAGCTTATTAAAAGGTCATATACTTAAATATCCATTATGAGTAATCATAACACCAATCCAAATCAAGACAGAGAAAAAAAAAAGAACTCTAACCAAGTCAAAAGAAAAGAACAGAGGCTTCCTTATACCGTGTTCATATAAATCAATATCAGGTAGGCTGAAGAAAACAAAGTTGAGAATCACAACTGGCTCCTGAGTGGGAAAAGCTGTAGTGAAACAAAGTTTCATATTCTCGTAATTTGAAATCATCTTATCTAGCAAACTGAAGTGAAGAGCTTCCATTTCAGTACTTTACTGAGCATGTCAGATAGCTCCACACCAGAGGAAGTATGTTGCAGGTATAAGAGACATCTGAATTGAGCATTAAAGAAGCTACATTGCATTCAGTCATTCCTTCAGAGAGGGTGCAGTTCAGGTTGTCCTGGAAATCACTACGCAGCCTAGACTAGCCTTACACTTGTGCCAATTCTCTTGTCTCAGCCTCTTGAGTGCTGAGATTACAGGCATGTACCACCACACTGGGCAAAAGCAGCATTTTAGGGAGAGAGAAAATTATACTGATGGTCTAAGGTCAAGTAGGGCAGTAGAGGTTCAGTAAACAGTTTGGTGAAACATCATGACATTGACCTCACCACTCTTTCACTATCTCTCACTCTTTCATGTTCTCTTCCACAGGCAATTTAAATTCAATGTTTACCGTCAGTCTCACCCTCTTACCATAAGGTAGCCAAACCTTATGCAATGGCTTGCTACTTGTTTTTCTATAAAATTTTAATGGGAAACAGCTATGCCCATTCAGTTAATATTCTCTATGTATTATGGCTTGTATCTACATGTCCTCGCTCAAGTGGTCATAGGTGGGAGTTTTAAAGGTGGCTGGATTAGGGTCTGTGAATGTGGGTTAAAGGTGTGATACTGGAATTAAGGGTGTTGGTGGCACCGATCAATAGATTGATGGAATCTGAAGTGACAGAAAGAAGGCAGGCTTGCCGCTTCCACGTCTGCTGCTTTCTGCCTGCCATGCCGTGATCTGTTTCTCCTCTGTGAGGCCCTCTGCCACGGCACACTGCCTCTGAGCCAGTTGACTAGGGACTGAAACCTCTAAAAACTATGAGCTAAAATAAACCCTTCCTCCTTTAATTAGTGAGTGTCACATCTTTTGTTCCAGGAAGGAAAAGTAACTACAACACAATGACTGGTTTTGGGCTGCAATGGGAGAGGTTGTGACTGTGATCTACAAAACCAAAAATTACTCTTTTTAATAAGCTTGCAGTTTTTGTAAAACTCAGGTGAAATTCAGCATCCAGCACTCCAAGCCTGAAAACAAAGAGGTAAAAATGTCTACAAGAAACTCACAATTGTGTTGACTGGCCCATTTAAAAAGTAATTATCAAGAAATTTGCCTCACCAATAAACTACACATTTGCCTAGCTTGTTCACTTTCCAGACCAGTACTTCATTTCTTCTGTTCTTTAATATCCCTTTCTTTGCCCATAACCTCTGCCTAAGAACCTTGCTTGCATCACAAAATGTACTTATTCCTACCTTGACCATCCATCTCCATAACCTCTTCCTTCACTTCTGTAATTAAGAGCTAAGTTGACCAAACTCTTTCCTTAAGCAAACATTACATTAAGATACTTACATAAAAAAATAAAAAATAATCTTACTGTGTTTTTTGAGTTATCCTGGGTTCAAAAGTGACCAGATGGAACGTAAGGAAGAAGCAGGAAGCAGTTCGTTTGTTCTTACAAAATCTCTGGTCATAAAACTAAAAAGAACTGGAGTTGATAACTCAAGGAAAAGCAAAAAAAAAAAAAAAAAAAAAAAAAAAAAAGGAAAAGAAAATCCCAACATGGTATCACAAGCAGAAAATTCTATACCTAACTTCATATCACAAGTCAGACAGGAAAACGTAGGTGTAAATCAGTAGTGGTGGTGGTATTTGTAGTTTCAGGTGTTTGAGAGTCTGAGGCAGAAGGCTCACTTAAACCCAGGAGTATGAGCCAACCTGGGCAATATAGTGAATCTCTGTCTCAAAACAAATAAAAAGAAAACCAAAACTAAAACACAGGTGCACTAAAAATTAGTATAAAATTTTCAGATTGTATCTATAAATTCAATATAAAATTTAAATGAATTTCATGTTTAGAATTGAACACCATCCCCAAAATAGCTCATAATGCACATGCAAATATTCCAAAATCTGAAACACTTCTAGTCCAAATCATTTCCTATAAGCGATATTTGATCTGTTTTACATAGAATTCAAGGAATGTGTTAGCACAGATGTCAAAGCTATTTTCTTGTAAACTACTATACAATTGCAAGGTGATCTTAATAAACCATTTGACAAGGTTAATCATGATATATTCATGAACAACCTGGAGATGTATGTATATAGCACTAGATTACAATTTATTTCAAAAAATTTATTTCATCTCTTAAGTATAGTAAATATAACGGTGTAGGTAAACAGTGCAATGTAATAAAGGGCATTGGCAGGTACGGCAAGGGTGGGAGGGAGAAAAGGAGGAAGGATAGAAGGAAGGGAAGGGAAAGAGATGGAGGAAGAGGGAAGGGTGGGGGAAATGGATAGATGGACGGACAGATGCATGGACCAGATTGCACCAACTAAAACAAACTAGGAAACATATCTGACAGTTTCTAAGCTTTGATTTCAACACAACTGCCTAGGACTGACACAAATATAGGAAGAATGCCTTAAAATGGAAGACTGAATTAGAATTTTATAAAACTCTAAATTAAAATCAAAGTATCGATTTTTATTTTACATTTATTATACAGAATGAGAGTACTGACACATTTCAATAACAAAATTGGTGGTAATATATTTGGAAATTAAATGATAGGGAAACTAGAAAGAACTGAAAAGAAATCAACTTGAGATACTGCTAATAAAAAATGCAAATTTAGCATGTTGCAGAAATGGGCACAGACCAATAAAGATAATTCTATTCTAAATGAACAGGTCAGGTCTCATTTGAAGTACTGATGATATCCCTATTCAGGCAGCGTATTTTATTCATAATACTAGCAAAGCAGAATACATCAAAAGAAGGCTAACAAAATGGTATGTGCTGTAGGTTCAATATTCTAATTTACTTTACTAGGAGAAATATGGGGGTTCAAACACATGTTATTATGAAATTAAATGTTTTAAATAGCCATGGGAATAATCTCTAAGGGGAAAGAGCTCAACGACAGGAAATGTTTATATACACAAAAATTAGTATTTTTACAATTTCAAAATGTTTTATTTGGAGTTCTTACAAACGATAATTCAGGTGGCCTGGGACACTAATATTTCAAGAAAAGAAGATCATGATTCAGTATTTCAGCACTTAAAATTTTCTGAAACATCTGATATGTGCTTTCTTCTTAATGCACTCTGTCTTATAGTGCCTGACTGAATTTTGGAAAATTCACAGATAAGTTGTAAATTTTAAAAGTCAAATGCAGCACACAAAGAGTATGATTTCAGATGTAGGTGTGAAAACACTTAGTTCACTAACATAATCACAAAGCAACAACCTCAAAGAGCTGTTACTAGGTTTCCAAAACTGGCTAACAGGATCTTTGAATAGAATCTTCTATTATACCAGACAGATCTTATTTGTAAGCTCCAAAAAATTACATGATGGATCATTTAGGCCACATGTTTCACAATGGCTTTTTCTTAATTATGAGTATTATCACTATTCTCTAATCAGTGACCACCATTCCTTTATGAACTCCACATTAGAAGTATACACGAAAAAATTTAAGTGACAAACTTTTGATCTCACCTAACAACTCAACAGCAAGAATAACTTCATTGCATCTCTTATCCCTACCTGACTTATGAGGTCAAGAAAACAGAATGGCTTGAGGCTACAGTTTTAAAGAGAACCAAGATACATCATCCTAAAAGTCTCAAAGGATGCCAAGCAATGTATCGAGCCATAATGAAATATTTAACACAGCACCAGGGAGGCCGGATCCTCCTTTGAGTTTGGTCAGGATATTTTAGCTGGCAAAAACTTCAAAACAATTTTCTTTCCTTTGATGGGTGTAGCAGACTGGCAAGTAAAAGGAAATAATATAATAAAGGTGTACGGATTAGTTTTTTGCTTGGGAAGTTGGAGGACAAATGGGAAAAGGGAGGGAAGCACTAAAAAAATACAATGAGTAAGGCTAGCTTTGTCTTGTCATATCTTAA